CACCACCCACTGCCAACCCTTGACCTACTCTTTACCAACCAATAATGAGAATGGTCATCACTGAAAGGGCGAGCATGTTCGGTGATGGAATTCGAACCCGCGACCCGCAGATTGTGAGTTGAGCGCCCTAAGCAAGGTCGAGTGTTATTATAAACCTAACTAATTGGGGTTTAATCATAGTAACATTGAACATCAAAACCAAAACAACATTAATGAAATTTCACATTTTTCTAGATGTTCTCTTTTTAATTATGCTTAAGTAACTTATATTCATTCATAAATATATGACATCTAAAAAAGAGTGAACAGAAAGATATCTGTTTTGGCTCTAATGTGAAGGCAGGAGCAATCAAAACAGTCAGGTGTATAGAATTGATTATAAGTTAATCCATGATATACGTTTTATTAGAATTCTCCACCAAGCAATCTTTGATTTCAATCTGGATGTTCAGGCAATTGATTTTCGTTATCAAAAAGCCTTGAGCTACAGAATTTTATCATGAAAATTTGTTTCCAGCATGACAATTCTAACAACATTCAGTGATCTTTGATTCTAATCCGCCGTGCGATATCCTCTGTTGTTTATAATTACGGCATGCAAGCCCTCCAGTGGCACAACGGTAATTCTGAAAGCTTATAACGCAAGAAACTGGGTTTCGATACTCTTGGTGGGTACAGCATAGATATTCCATTGTACAATTTTGTGTTTAACAAAAAACAAACAAATAAATACTGCACGCATTGTAATTTTCTGATGATCTTATGATCTGCTGTGTCAAACTACTCAGCAGCCTTTGATCCAGTATGAGGTGTGAGTTCCTAGCTCTACTCAGTAGTCTATAAAAAACAGCATACCTTGCGATATCTTTGCTTTACTCAGTGATCTTTAATTTAGCATATCGTTCCATCTACAGAATCTACTCAGTAGTTTTTGAATTCAACATGCTTTGTGGTCCACAATCTCTACTCAATGATCTTTGATTCCAGCCTGCTTTGTGATTTCCTGGCTCTAATCAGTAGTCTTTGAGTTCATCATGTCTTTGCAATCTGCAATCTTTAGTCCTTGATCTTTGATTCTAGCATTTTTTGAGAACTAAAGGCTTTTTTGAACGATTTTTATTTCGAATGTCTTAATAAGCCTAGTATTCTAATATGGAAATTTTCAGAATAATTATTTGGCCAGAAAATCAAATTATAAGTAATATTTTTTTACAAAAATTATCTGAAACAGTACCAAGGTGTAATAAGTCTTTGGAGAGCTATGATTTATAATACACTAGCTGAGTTACCCGGCGTTGCACGGTGAAAATTTAGATTTAGATCAGTATTTTTTCAGCAAATTATTCAGTAGGTAGACAAAAGCTGTGATGCGAGAAATAAAAAAGCATTTAATCAAAAAAAGCTTTATTTGAAATTAGATCGTGTTTGAGCTTATCTTATTCTTTGAGCCTGAAGTCGTACATCATGTTGCTCCTCTGTTTCCTGCTCCCTGTAAGTTATTTGTTTTGATTTTTGTGCTTGAAGTCTGGTTTGACGTTGTTCAGAAATTTCTTTTTGTCTATATCCAGCTTGCTTTGATGATTCTGACTGAACTCTGGTTTTGTGCTGTTCAACAGTTTCTTGCTGTCTTTGAGTAGCCTGCCTTTCAGCTTGAGCTCGAAGTCTAACTTTACGTTGTTCCAAAGTCTCTTCCTGTATATGAGAAGCCTGTCTTTCAGCTTGTGCTTGAAGTCTTTGATTGCGTTCTTCTTCTGTTTCAGCTGCTCTTTGTGCTTGCATTCTTTTAGCGGCAGAAGACTTTCCATAGGAAGGGCGTTTTTTAGGTGGCATAATCACCTGTAGCACAAAACAGTAATTTGCAATTCACAAAGTTACTAAATCACTTGTGAAACCACTCAGCACTATTTAAAGAAAACTGTTTTTGGACAGACAATTGACAGCAAGGTGATCTGAGTGTTTCCCGTCATAATGCTTTCTATGTGCAAAACGTGCTTATGTTTGTATGTTTATTACAAAAAATGGCGCAATAATCATTAATTGTCAATTTCGTCATTATTAAGTTATTTTAAAATTTGTAAGTTCAATCGTTTGGTTTCCTATAGCGAACAAAATAAACAAATAAACAAACTTCCTCTTTTATATATATGTATTATTCAGGGTTGATTTATACTGTATTTTCACGTGTGCTTTACTAATAGTAACTTGGAAAGATTGAATTCTCCACAAATATGTTTTTTTTATGGTTCAGCGCTAAGGTTGAGAAACTATAGCTGAAATTCAAGGCTCGATCCCAGTGGTTGGCACTTTGCGTTAGTAATATGCAAGCAATGTGTTACACTGAACAATATTATGTATTATCTTTCATTCATTCCTAAAGTAGTATTAGAACTACAATCACAGCAGTTTCATTTCTAACATATTGTTCAAGAAATTTCCACAATATTCTAGGACTTGTGCCTCATTGCAAAATTTAATTTCAAATATCACAGTAGTTAAGCTTACATTGAACGAGCGTTTTATGTCCGTCATTGTGAAAGGATTTTATACTTTCCAGATGAGACTCCTAGCAACGGTTATCAAATGGTGCTATTAAGCACTCGTGGTGTAAAAACTAGGGAGTTTTACCAGTTAGCTAGGCAGACGTGAAAGCTAGGTCATATATATATATTTAGATACTATGCATACTAAAGCATCTAGTGAATGATATGATTTCTATCTTTTTATTTTAATGTTAATGTAACACATCTAATACCTCATATCTGTAAGCAATAAAACAACCGGAAACAATGAAGTTCTTCTGTAATTCTTCTGTAAATATATGAGTTAAAGAGGAGGGTGTAAATTCACCTTATTTTAAACATGGTTTTAGGATGCAGTAAAAACACGCTATTTGCACGTGAAAGGGATAAAGTAAAAAAAAAACTGTTATTTTTTTAAAACTGTAAATTCTTTGCATTCTTGCTCAATAAAAAATACATAAAACAAATAGAAAGTGAAGCTGCTTTCAAAGCTTTAGCTCTTAGGGCAGTTTTTATCGAAATTTCTCATAGAACAAAAACATAAACTTTATGTTTTCGATAAACTAATAATTTTTCAAAAATTGAAGAAAATCATTATTTGATAAAAAAAAATCCAAATAAAACAAAAAATACTTTCCAGAGAATTTATGTTTCGAAATTGTGTAAGGATAACACTTTTCAAGTTAAAAAATATTATTTCTCACAGATTGCTGAAAGTATCAAAAAGTTATTCAACGTTAATGTTAATAAAAAGATCCACTTATGATAAAACATTGGTAACTTGATGAATTAATCAGATACAAAAAACATCCACTTTTCTGATTTCGCTAACATCGATGACAGTAAACAGTTTGTTTTTAAACACAAACATTATAATGAGTTATGTCTGGGGTGTTCGTTACGGGAATTCAAAACTAGAATTTAGCGTTGTGAACTTTCAAACTTTCAAATCTGCCACAGCTGGAGTAACGACATAGTTATTTTTAAGCAATTCGTTGGCTGCCGTGTCTTTTATATATATATTAAGACTTTAAGAGTACTGATAATTAAAGAAAAAATGTCATCTTAATATAAATTTCTCTGTTTGTGTAAAACGAGACTAAAAGTGACATTCTCGTTATTTGTTTGTTTTTAGTTACCGCTGGTGGTATCGAACCCTGAATTCTAATGATATAAGTTTTCAAGCCTGTCTACTGAGCTATCGGAAACAAACCTATGAAACATGCATGAAAAAAGAAAGTTATTAATGAAAAAATTAGATGTAACTTTTATGTCTGTGATAACAAGTTACTAATTAATTGACAATGATATACTAAATATTATAGCATAGAAAAATTGTATTCTTTTCTAAACTCTATATGACGTCAGTTTTTGACGTTTGAATAAAAGTTATTTTAAATGGATAAGCAGCATTACTGTGGATGGCATGTAAAATCTACATTGTCTATGAAACTCCCAATTAATGTAGTATTGTGTATTGCATTAAGTACGGCCTGGCATATCCTGATAGTTAGGGCACTCAACTCCCAATATGAGTGTCGCGGGTTCATACCCCGAACATGCTCTTCAGTTACTTTTTTACGAACGAATAGTGAGATTGACCGTCATCTTATATCGTCCCCCAAGATTTGGATGGTATTGATTAGGTGCCTTCCCTCTAGTCTATCCCTTTAAAATTAGGGGCGTCTAGCGCAGATAGTCCTCAAATAACTTTGCGCGAAATTCAAAACAAACACATCATTAACTTTGAAAACTCATATATTTCAGTGGTTTTTATTAAGAGCCTTAGTTTTCTGTCTCTTTTTTTTTTTCACTTGTACGGCCTCTAGGCCTTCGTATTAGAAATCCACGGTCTGTTAACATAAGTGTCGTTGTGTGGAACGGTAAAATTACGGTGGCTGAAGTTTTGTCAAGCTTTTTAAGACGAATACTTACTGCGAAGTTCAACAAACTTTAAACTAGTTTTTATTTTATTAAACTGGTTTTTTGTAATATATACATACGCTTAGTTTCGTAGGACGACTCGTGTTTCTTCTCATCGTATTGATGGGATGTGTCTGCTCTAACGCATAATAGTTGGACAAAAGTAGAGCACCGGTGCCGTGTTTAACCTGCCACCATGTCACGTGACTATGTTTGGAATAACTATAAAACCATGTCATTTTCGACAACGAATTCAGTGTCCAATAAGCTTCTTTTGTGGAACTATCATTTCTCATCTGAAGTTATCTTAAAACTGATAAACATGAGCTTGGGCAGGAAAAGAATGGTACGTACATTAAGCTGTGATATTATTGTTATTGTATTAACAAAGATCGCTAAATGCATCTTATATAAATTAATAGCTAACTTCAGTGTTTCATCATTCGGGTATTTCAACTTATTAAATTAAAATTAGCTTCCGATTGTTTGTTTGGGCTATCTGTGCTCTGCCCATCACGGATATCGAAACCCGGTTTCTAGCGTTGTATGTGGGCAGACATGCCGTTGAGCCACTGGGGGCTTAGCTTCCGATCAGAGCAGGCTATTTGTTTAGCTGGTAATGAGTATAGTTAAATAAATATAATTTTCTTGCGTTCTTACTTGTAAAAATTAGAATGCATTGTTTCATCTGTTGGGTATTCTCGTTCTTAGTGATACTTTCGGCCTTAAACCCACTAATATCTCACGAGATTCAGTCCTAACGCCACATTTGAACTATAAGAAAAAGATGCAAATCAAAAATACTAAAATTAGATATATATCAAATGATATAACCATCACTATTAATGAAAGTAACAATAAATAAATATAAAGCTATCCCTTCCTTATATATGAAATACACAAAGCTGTTAGCTTCAAGAACCGTTGTAGATTTAATGTTCACAGATCAACGTAATTAATTTGGCTAGCGAAAATCAATGGAAATAATATATGATAACGTCTAATCTTAATACATATATAAAATAAAGCTATTTTATACATTATTAATCAACAGTCGTACTATCGTCTTTTCTCCATTATTTTCAGAGTAAACTGCAGTGTTTGGCAGTATTTTTCGCAGTCTGTGCTCTAGTCAAGGCTGAAGATCCTAATGAAAGTGACGCAGCTTCTGATAATAAAAAAGATCTCACTACAGCAGAGACTGGCTACGGAGGTGGAGGTTATGGAGGATACGGTGGAGGAGGTTATGGTGGCGGTAAAGGAGGCTACGGTGGTGGAGGGTACGGTAGCGGAGGACATGGTGGATACGGTGGTGGAGGGTATGGTGGCGGAGGACATGGTGGATACGGTGGTGGAGGCTATGGTGGCGGAGGACATGGTGGATACGGTGGTGGAGGCTATGGTGGATACGGT